TAAGTTCCGAGTACGTCCGAATCAGGTCCTGAACCTTCCCCAGGACGTTCCAGGGACATCCGATGTTACCAAATCGTCGGTCCCCAGAACGTCCTAAGTAAGACATCCTCTGGCCGTCCTGAAATGCTTTATTGGGGACTAATGGACAAGCTTTACAGAATTGAAGAGTGGTATTCCCAAAGGCCCAGACAGCAATATGACGTCTTAATTAAGTCTTATTTTATAAATTTGTTAAATGGATTTTATTAAAATCATTTTAATAATTTGCTCGTATTCGCTTATTTTAGGAATTACGATTACTTCGTCTCACTTTTGTTTAAATTTAAGCGTGCTCTTCACCGGAACCGATAGACGGCCTGTTTCCCTCTTTTGGAGCTCGTCAGTATCGGGTAGCCCACAGAACATAAGGGGTAGCCGTTTACCTAGGTCTAAGACGCTTTTGGTATGAAGCACGCTCTAAATTCTACTTCGCCGCTTCTTATATCAAACACAAGCAGTTACAGCGGTGAGAAGAAAGAATCGCATTAAAATGTCATAAATGTGACGTCTCCATGTTGAGGTCTTAAGCTTAATTTTCATGTATCCATTTGTCCGTCATCCGTATGTCAGTTTTTCAATAAAATCGTCCGATAAGAAATGTTCTAATTTTCATGCATACGTTTTTTAATGACGTTTAACGGATTGATTTTGCGACAAATAGAAATTAAGTGTCAGTATATTCACTTACTAAATTTACCTAATGCTTAATTGTCATAGTTACAAATTGTAACTTACAATTATGTCAACAATTGTAACTTTAACAGTTAGCGGTCTAATAAATTTAAAGGTAGGTAAATATACCTTATAAAAAGAATATACTAGCCCTAATATACATTAAAATGTATAGTTTTAAAAAAGCAGGTCCTTTTAGTTCTAGTTTTAATTTTTTTTTGTCCTTTCTTTTTTTCTGTTATTCTTATTAAATAAAAAGTTAACAGTAAAACATTATTCACATAACGAACGTAATATTTCCGTTTTACAATCTTTTTGAAAAAATATAAAAATATTTGAAAATAAATTATCTTAAAATAACGTTAGGCGTCAAAAACAGATGTGTAGTGACGGATGAGTTAAAATTATTTAACCTTTCTCTCTTATGTTCTGTGCTTTATCTGTCAGACGTACGAAGTTAAAACCTGACGGACCGATAAAATGTCATAATTTTCGAATTATAATTGGACCAATAAGAGCGCTCCCGGATGAACGGACTGACGGACAAACGGATACATGAAAATTAAGCTTTAAAGAGTTAATAATATTTCCGTAAGAAGTAAGAAAAGAGAGTAGTAGCTTCTAATTTTGATTCCAATAAGAAAAACAAATTTACTTCTTATTTATGAATTCATCAAGAACTCTTAATCTTCAGCTCCTAAAAATGATTTCTCTAAGATGTCATATTGTGACCTCAGTAAGATGTTTTTCAACAGACTTCGTACAGAAATCTTTCTGAATTGGATGCTGTCTGGGGGGGTCTAAGTTACAAAAATAAAATTGTGAGTTATCAATGAAAAACAATTATTTTGCACATGTAAATGTTGAAACGTCTGAAACACGTTTGGAATTGCATATTCCGCTCTCCTGAAACCGTCAAACTCGTCTTCGGCTCGTGTAACAAACTCTTCACTCGAGCGGATATGCTGTATTCCAAATTTGTTACAGAATATACATACTATTAAGTCATTCTGCATGACACAAACTATTTTTAAATGATAATATATTATTTAACCAACTTGGCACTTAGACCCTTTGGAAATACAATGCTTCAGTTTCGTCCTTGGGACGTACCCAGTATATCCGCTATAATTTTCCCAAATAAGTAAGAGACTGGACGTACCCAAAACTTAAGTTTACCCAGGACGTCCATTTCGGGTCCCACATAGGTCCGAACGTCCTAGACCTATATCGGAATTCCGATATAGGTCTAGGACGTTCGGACCTATGTGGGACCCGAAATGGACGTCCTGGGTACCTCTTGTGCTATCTGGGGCGCCATCGTCTTCCAACATCTTTTGGATGACATGATAATGAACATTAAAAGCAAAGTTCTCCGAACCATTGACAGCTTTTTTTAGTTGGTTTATATTTTCCTATAGGTACTTGAAAAAAATTCAAAAGCTGTGTGATGAAAATCCTGTTCAAAACAGGGCAAAATCGGCATTTGTTTATTAAAAAATGATACAAATATTTACATAGCAACAATGACGAATAGCACGATAATGAGAAGGTTATTGCTTATTTCATTTATTTCTCTCCATACTCTGAAATTTTTATCAATTTTTAATAAATAGTTTACGAGATAATGATTTATCTATCAAACAGTGCAAACATGTTTAATCGCACGTTGTTAAATAAACAAATTTAATGAATTAATGAATTTTGTATAAAGGATCGTTCAAGTATTACGTAACGCAATTTTTGGAGAAATTTGACCCCCCTCCTCCCATGTAACGCACCGTAACGCTTTTGTTTAACCCCCCTCCCCCTAGTAAAACGTTACGTAACCACCAAGTGACCGTTTTTACCTAATTCACAATTATGTGGCGTAAAGTACCGAAAACAATTGTTTTTAATGTTACGTAACGCGTACTTGAACGCTCCCTAACATGACACTTATAGTAGATTATTTTCTAATACTTGGTTTTAATTTTCCTTTTAAAGTTAAAAATCTTGGGCTCATTTAGGAAACTTCTGCTATATTAATAAGTTTTTTTACAATAAAACCGATAATATTTGGGGAATTTCAAATATTAGAACTGGCAACGCTGTTCTCTGCCGTGCGTAATACCAGTGTTGCCAACCGTAGCGGAATTCCGCTACGCATAGCGGGATTTACCCCCAAGAGCGGCGTAGAGGCGGTGGAACAAAATGATGGCAAAACGTAGCGGAATTTAGGTTTTTTTTAAATACGTATTAGTAAAACATCTAAAACAAATTGCTTATCATAAGTTAATTTTTTTAGTTTAAATTTTATCATTAAATCTAGCTACCGTAAACACGGGTGACTTTGCACCCCGCGGGTGACTTTAACCCATTTATGAAAAATCTTTTCGCGCTCGATAAAATTAACATTTATAATTTGTTGGTCTAAACCTGTCAATTGAGCGATTCTATTGAGTTTATATTACAGGAAAATCAGTGTTTTAAAGAAATAAATGGTATTTATTACACTTTAAAATTGTATATATCGCATCAGTGCAAAACTCTTAGAAATACACGCGTTACAATTTCTATATTATGCGCAATCCATTGGAATGATGATCCTTGGTCGATTTTTTATTTTTTTTTATCGGTAATCCCTTGCAATAGATATATGTCGCTGCTAACACGTGTCTAATAAAAATAAAATATAATATTGAATTCATTTTATACGGAAAATACACTGTGAGACAAAGTAACCCGCAACCAGGGGGTAACTTTGCACACCCAGTTTTTAATTTTTATTTTTGAAACTCAGCCCTATGTAATATTATAACATAGTCGCCGTAGAATTTATAAATGCTACCGCGGCTTGCGTATTGTTTATCTTTAACGGGCGGGCGGGACTTCCAGCGTTAGAATATTTTTGTTTTGGTTTTAATATTGTTTGTTTATATTTTAATTTTCTTGTTATAATATTTATTAGGTACTTGAAGAAAGTATTTTGCTTAACATTTCTGGTCTTTATTTAAATTAAAAAAAAATGTATTCAAAGTTTGGATCCCAAACTTTAAGCCAAAATAGAGCGGGTGTAGCGGAATTAGGATAGATTCGGGTGTAGCGGAGCGTAGCGGAATTTTGATATTGTTGTAGCGTTATTTGTTATTTTCGAGTTGGCAACACTGCGTAATACATTTGTGATACATGCAGTGTTGCCAATTGCGGTGTAATTACACCATTTGGGTGTAATTTACTGACTGTGGTGTAATTTTCTAACATTTTTGAATGCGGTGTAATTTGGGTGTAATTTTGGACGGATCATTTAAAACGTACCTATTTTTATTTAAGGGAAGTTTTAAATGTTATTAAAATATAATTCATTTTGTAAAAAGGGGAATCCCTGGATTTAATATCATAATATGTATGTAGTATTAGGTATTATGGGTAAAGAAGTGGCCAGGCCCTTTGGAATCTTCCTTTTCGTTCTAACTAGTGTTTTTAACGCTGCAAAGCGGTTTTGCGCAAGTATCATCGCCGTTCTTATTGGCTTTCGCTAACAACAGCTGTTTGTGACACATGCGCGTAAATGTTTCCTTGCGTTCACAAGAAATTTTATCTCTTAAGACAAATAATTTTACACTAAAATTATTTTTTGGTTATACCTTAATGATATTTTAATTAAAGTTGTGAATGTTATAGAATGTCCATTTTGGTTTTGTTATTTAAAAATGGATCGCTGGCTTTTAAAGGTAATTGTTATTTAGTACAGCCATAAAAAAGGATAGTACAGCTATCTCATTCTCAATATACAATTGTACCTTTAAATCTAAAATTATTTTTAGAAATGCCGTATTTCCATTTATAGATTAACGCTGTCAATTTGTAAATGCTTGCGTATTGTTTGTTTTCACGCAGAAGAAATGCAATCTATGAAAACAAGCGTTTTTTTAATTTAAAAAACGGTAAGCATTGAAAATTAACAATAATAATAATAATAAATAATAGTTTGGACACCCCTGAATCATGATAACGTATTATTTTTGCAAAAAAATATGGGTTTCGAGCATACGACATTTTCCATGTTATAAATCACTGATTTAAAATCAGGCTTAATTTTCGTTGGGGTGTAATGTGGTGTAATTCTGGAGAGTTTGGGTGTAATTTTGCCAAAAGCAATTGGCAACACTGGATACATGCATATGGCACTCGGCGGCGCCAATCAGCTGAGAAATTATATTCTATGATTAGTCTGTGATTAGTCCCAACTAGGCGGTAATAACAGTCGTACGAGCACGTGTTTGTTAAGTGATTCGTGCTAAATTAAAATGAAGCTTTTAAAATTTGTACAATCGGCTGTCAACAAAGCACAAAGATGTAACTTTTCCGCACAAGCTCTACCTACCCCAAAAACCAACCCAGATGTGCTCTACTCAGGTGTAAGTATTTACCTGTTAACTTAATGGTAGTTTACATACAGAGATGTTTACATACCAAGAGTGGTAAGAGGCAGAAGTTAGGTACTTGAGGAATGTACACTACTTTATCTACCACACATTTTTAACCTTTTTTGATTTTCTTTAAATTTGACATTGACAGTTTTAAAAAATATTTCGCCACCATAACCAAAACGCTCTTATGTTCTGTGACACTCTTAATAGAGTGTTCTCCGGGTGGTGCCATAATGTTAATATTAAACCAAGATAAATACACCTTAATAAACCAAGATACATAGGTGTACCTTAATATTAAACCAACAGGCAAATTCCCTAGCACAACAGTTCAACTGTTGTGCTCGAGAATTTTTGATTGTTGGTTTATTACTAACGTTATTGTCAAGAACACTTACTGTTACCATTACCTTTACGTGTTACCTTTAAAATCTGTGCTGTTACGCACATATCGTAAGGTGACCAACCGTTCTGATTTAACCAGAACTATACTTACTGTTTTTGATAACCATGTTCTGGTTGTAAATTAAGTAAAGTAAAAGTTCTGTTTTTCAAAAGCTGCTCTGTTTTTTTCTGTTTTAATACCTACATATACCTTCAATACTAATTAAGCCATAAACAAATTATATTTTCCACTTTGCCAGATTTTTCGCCCAACCCCCACTAAATATATTCGCGTTGGCGTTCGCACTTGGCTCTCCCCAAACGAACTAATACCTAGTTCTGCGTTCTGCGCGTTTTATTGTGGTTAAATATTGTAATATCCATTGTTTTTTATATTTCAAACTCTAAATGATATGCCTCTGTAAAGAGGAAAATGCATCTTTAATGCAGAAATGCAAAAGAGTTACCCATTTTGGACAAAAGACAAATCACAATTGCGCATTGAAACACTAAAATCATTATTAATTGTTAAAACTAATTTCGATCAAACATGCTTTAAAAAAATGAAGTTCTAATAAAAAAAATTCACTCCCAAGAAAAATATAGCTTTAAAAAATCTTAATTTATAATAATATTATGTTAATAGAAATACATGTAAACATTTTATAAATAATACAGATTTTTTATTACAGTTCTGGTTTTTCTTTTAGGAGAGTTGGTCACCTTAACATATCGTCGTTGAAAATACGTAAAATATGCTAACCTTGATTACTTAAAGTTGTACAGTGGCGGACACAGAGTTTTGAACGACGAAAAAATAAACTATAATAATCAATTTTTAAGCTATCAACATGATCCTATTTTGTTTATCGACTTTAAAAACGAATTTTTAAAATAATCTATGGAAAATCTGTGAAAATTAACACAAGTGTTATTTTCCAAACATTCTTTCAAAAATTCGTTTTTAAACTCGAGCAACTAAAGAGGAGTAATGTTGATGGCTTAGAAATTGATTATTACAGTAATTTTTTTATGAAAATTTCAAAAAACATTTTTTTAAGCGCCAAACAATTTTCATATTAAAACACTCATGAGCCCATATAAAAGAGACTTTATATTTGTATGCAGTTCAAAAGTCAAATTAAGGATACACCACTGTACAATGATGAAAATTCCACACCTGTAATTTTTAACCAATCAAAACGTGTATTTTTGATAGATCACCATGGCAACGGTTGAATTTTAGTGGAAATTTTTTCCTCGTGGGTACCCAACAGCGAATTATACTGGAAATTTTTTGACGTTTATAATGACAGAATATTTTTTTGACAATCTGGTTTTTATTTGTTTACATGATAATTTTGATACATTTCCATTACAAAGTTTATTAGATGTTTTCTATATTCGTTGGACACCTCCTTTCTTCTTAATGGCGAAAATGCAGGACTTGAAATAAATTAAATGTCTATGTCTAATAAAATATATATAATATTAGGCACTATTCTATTCACCTTTTTTTCCATTTAGCACTTTGAGTTTTGAATAGTTAAGATGCAAATATTCGTGAACAATTCAAAACAAATTTTCTTTCTTCAAGTAGGAGCCACAATCCTCTAATAATGCGGGTAAATAAGTCATTGCACGATGATTGATCATTACAGCAGACAATTTCACATTTTTTTTACGTCGTGCCGCTTGACAGCTTCAAAACTGAAATAACTTTTAGGTTGGGGTTGACTTAGTTGCCATGGTAACTAAATAATCAAGTCGAGGTCAAGTTAAATCAAAAAATAAATTTTAATTATTTAAACACAATTTGGTGTGGAATTTTCTTACCGAATACCACACGAGGTCAAATTAAATCCGGAAATTTTTTCTCCCTCATGAATATTTTTAGAAAATTATCCCTCGTCTTCGACTCGGGATAATTTTCAAAATATTCATGAGCTCGAAAAAATTTCCGGAAATAATTTGACCTCTAGTGGTATTACTAGTGAAAATACATTAAAATTACATAGAAAGATTGGTCCCATCTATCGCGTTTAGCTTAATATCAGCAATAAAATGCATGCTTACAGGTCACTGACAGTGATTCACTGTAGAATGAATTCATGTACATAACCTATAATATAACATATATATTGTTATATATTTACTTTTTATGTTTTTTTAATGACACTTTATTTTGTAATAAAATAGCTGCTTTTCCTCCCGCGAATAGTTTGATGCCCGACGCGAAGCGAAGGGCATTAAATATTCAAGGGAGCAAACGCATTTTCCTCCTAAGGTATGTATAGTTTTTTCTATTACCTTTTAACGGTTTTAAGACATTTTAAGCGTTCCGGTTCCTTTTTCTAACCCGGTATGGGGCTATAAAATTATAACAAAATATTAAGTAGGTGTTGCGTCGCCGACGTTATGTTGACAACGCTTTGTTGCTATGGTATTTTTGGTTATACAAACATAACAGGTTTTATAAGCTGTCAGAATGTTTATCATAAATTTGAAATTCTTCCTACGTTTTGAAAATGAGTTCTAGCGAAGAAGACCTGCCGCAAGATCTTGCTAAAGAGGCAAGAATAGTTGCAATTAATTTCCTTCCTTAAAAATCGAAAGAGCGATATGAAAATGAATACCTACATATAGTTTGTTAAAAGAATGGTTGGACAAGCGCGGAGTAAATCTTTTTCCTACAAAATCAAATAGGGCTAGACAAGGTACAAAAACTCTTGCTAATGTAAAATTGTTAAAAAAAAAAGAGGGAGGAAAATTTCCTCCCTCGTTCGTGGGTGGAAAATTAAGGTAGGTAGTAGAAAAAATTAATTTGTTAATTAAAATACGAACTTTTATTTTTACTACATTAGCACTGCTGAATTTGATGTCAAGGCCTAGTAGACCGGGCCCACTGTTATTTATTTATCATACTCTTCAAAATTTGATTTAATGGAGAATCCACCTTAATATTGTAGATAACACGTGTACACTTCTGCTTAGAAACAAAAACGAGATAAGTCTTTACGTGTTTTCAACGCCGCGGCGATATATGCTTTTACGTAACTATATAATATCGTTAAATCAACGATAATATATAATGTTGAAAGTAAATGTGACACTACTTCTATTATAGAAATTAATCACTTAAAACAATCACTACCAATGTTTCCCTAAAATTAACTAAAAATGTATAAATTCTCTAGGTAGCGTGACGTCACGATTTTGTAATTTAAATGGTACATTGATAGATAGATAAAAGGCTGCAAAAATAGAAATTCTAAACATAGCCAAATTATTTTTACTTGCTATAAAACCATTTTTTCACTTTACTGTTTATATATTTTTTTAAATTTAAATACACTATACTATATACAAGGTTATTAAAACCCAAAATATTGTAAGTTTTAATCTACTTTTACAAGAAGTGATAACGCATTGAAAATAATTTTAAAATATAGACTACATTGGCTTATAATGATATATAGAAATTTTAAATCGATTTCTTTTTTCGTTGTCCATAAACTTCTATTAAATGAATCAAAATATTTTTTAATATTAATGTATCAAGTTTAAAAAATGCCATTTTAGATACCATTTTAATTAGGCACGAGCGAAGCTGTGAGCGAGTCTTTAATAAAATGAGGAAATATTATAAAGGATTTATAAGGACCCTAGAAGCCAAGGTGTATAAGTACATTTTGTTTAGTTTTAAGATAATCATGTTTAAAGTAAAAATAGACTGGTAATTTGGAGTCAAAATTGATGGTTGTTTTATGACTTTGTTTTTCAAGATGTCCAAGCTTAGAATTCAGTTATATCCCTTGGATAATAAGTAAAATGTACCATTCACCTACTATCTTTTTCAATACATAACTACATTTTTTTTAAATGTCACTTGTATCCCTTGGCTTCTATAGAAGATAGATAAAGTACATATGAGGACCCCATGGTTTTTCTACAACGAATACAAAAACATTTGACATCTGTCAACGGATTTAACCTCACTTATCCCAAAAGTTATAATAAATGTAACTGCGTAGGCGAGCTTTAGCGACTTTTGAAAGCCTGGGGAATTACTTTACCGCCGTGATTTACACGTTATTTCTGCAAAAAAAATGACATAGGTAAATCTATACTGGTAGAGATGCGACTTGAAAAAAAACGGTCCGTTTTTTTGTTTTTTTTTTAATTTTAGGTTTTTTCATATTTTAGTTTTTTTCAAGATAAGTCCCATTTGCCTAATTTTTTGTTTCCAGTCCAGTTCATGGACTAAAATTAGCCACTAAATGACATTTAGTAAATGTAAATACAGTCTCGCGCTATGCACGCGCCACCACCACCGAATTGACCAATAAGGGCCGCGCTTGTTTTGATTTGGTCCTAAAAAAAGTAATTCCTATAATATTTTTGATTCAGCGCTTGATTTTTCAGAAAGCTACCAAAGGACTTTTTTCATGATTTTTCAAATTTTAATTGTTTTTTTCAAAAAAAAAAAACAATAGCAAATTCTTTTAGAACATTTATTCATTGGTGGTTAAGTCAGAACATTATTACGGTATTCATTAGGATTGAGCTTTGCACGTTTTTCATCTAAAAATCTCAAAACTATA